CATTGAGAGAGAGAGAGAGAGAGGGAGAGAGAGAGAGAGAGAGGGGGGGAGAGAGAGAGAGAGGAACCTTTTGCAGGATTGGATAGATTTTTAACTTTGAGCAACGCTCGTCCTAAGCCAAAATGTCAACATTTAGGGAAAACATATTTTGAAAATCACTCCCCTCCAAAATGATAAGTACATTCCATTATTAAAAATCAAATTTGACCTTGTATAATGTGGCAAGAACTCGAGATCGCTGTGGTCCAGCAGCAGCCAATATTGTACATGTCACTGCAGCAGATAAAGCTTGTTCCAATGCTTCTTCGTTGATCTCTCTGTGAAAAAAATAAATAAAGTAACTAACAACATCCATCTCTATAATGATTATACTAAAAAGACAGTGGCCGAAAAAGAATAATAATTACTAAGCAATATCTTTAAACATCACCAAGAATGATTTTTCATTTAGAAAATAGTAAGTTTCTAAATTCAACATTAGAATACAAATCATAGCGTTGTGTTGAAACTCATATATTAAAAGTACGTAGGCACAAGACTTTCTTTTACGATGAAGGCACAAAATTGTTCAATACATTGAGAAAAAAGTTGCAGAAAGGAAATACAAAATAAAAAATAAATAAATAAAGTTTGCCTTCGCCCATGCATGAGCATTATCTTTAATACATCACACAAATGATTTTACATTTTTAATTTTGAAAATAGCAAGTTTTTAAATTCAACAGTAGTATACAAATCATAGCATTGTGTTGAAATTCAGATATTAAAAGTAAGTGGGCTTGTTTAATAGATTCGGGGGGGGGGGGGGGGGGGGGGGGGGGGGGGGGGGGGGGGGGGGGGGGGGGGGGGGGGGGGGGGGGGGGGGGGGGGGGGGGGGGGGGGGGGGGGGGGGGGGGGGGGGGGGGGGGGGGGGGGGGGGGGGGGGGGGGGGGGGGGGGGGAGCAGACTATCTGATATAAATTCTAAAAAAAATAGTTGAAGGCATAAGGTATAGAAGGATCAAATATTATAGGAAAATCAATAAAAGTGGACTATCTGCACAATAAATTTATGAAATTTTCGGACCAAGTCCACAAAATTGTTCAACGTTCATGATAACAAACACAATTAGTAGCAAACCTAATCTTTGGTCAATTAATATTTTTGAAACTATTTAAAAACGACAGAAATGTAAAATGCTTATTAGTAGCAAACCTAATAAAATGCATTTTTTAAATAATAAAATGCAAGTTGGCAATTTCTAAAGTGGATCAAAAGTACAAAAAATGTCAAGAATGCAGAGACTTGATGCTTAAGAACTGGAAGAAATGTAAAAATAAAGACACTTTCAAAAAAGGTGCAAATACTTAAGATCGTTGTCCTAAAGACCAGTATATCAGTCAATGATGGTTGTTTAACAAATCTAAACAACATTTATATTCCATGAAAAATAATTTTAAATTTTACATACTCGTCTCCTATTTGTCTCTTTTCAATTTGAGAAATATCATAATAACGCAGTGCTGCTTCCAAGAACTTCCTTTTCAAGTCTAAGATTCTAGCATAGCAAACCTGCGACAATGGAGGAGGGGATTAAAAGACAGAAGAATACCTATAATGCCATTCTTAAGTTAATGTCATCAAGAAACAAAAATCATTTCTAACCTTGTACTGTAAATTCAGGACTTCATGCTGACTATAGCTAACCAAGAATGAAGCTTTATTAATAAACGCCTCAGCGTTAACAGCATCATCATCCTGTCAAAAAAGAAATTGAGCAATACAAGTGCTCAAGTATTTAAGGCTAAATGAACTTCCTTGTCCACGTAAGTATAAACATTAAACAATTTTGCAGATTATATCATTCATACAATGCAACCTAACACCAAAACCGATATGAACCAAAACATCTCAATCATGCAATATGAACTCTCAAGGAAAAAATGAAGAAAAATGTTGTTTAAATTATCACAAGATAAATTCAAGTTGCAATTCATGTCACATTAAAGAAAAATCAAGTTTAATTTATTTTTGGATGGTTACAAATTTAGTGTGGATAATAATCTAGAGTTATGATGTTTCATTAATATACTTTAAGACTTTCTATTTACTGTTATATTTACACAGTGTCAAACTATGGTCATTAAGTGTGAAAGTTACAACTCTTGAAATGCCTCATGGAAGGCTAAGGGTTTTCTTTTGAGGCTATATAAAATGATGTTGTCGATGTAAACCAAACTTGGAAAAATGTAGTAAAAAGAGCTTTGGTACTTTCTTTTAGCCAAGAGCTAAGTTTATTTGCAATTCTATATAGATCAGATAACATGCTTAGAATCATTCAAGCCTGACATGATTGATCTTGCTTGTGGAGTGATTTGAATTTCAAACAAGTGTTCTTGCTTTAAGATATTTGATCAATAAGGTAATCCGAATTTTACTTGGGGTGATTCCTAATCATTTTTGGGTTCTTGGATATTTAGATCTAGAGGTCTTATTCTTCAATAAGGTTGTTAGATCAAGTTCCTAATCATTTGGAATGAAATCAACTTAATTTGGAGTTTTAGCATTCGTGATCTAGGGTTTTGCATATCCATGAGAGTTATGAGAGTTCTTAGATCCAATTGGCTAGGATTACCATATCAAATGTCCTCCACCATATTCATATAGTGTTTTTCTACAACGTAATAACAAATTGCCACAACTCACACATAGCCATTTGTTATAAATACCATCATAAGATAAACTGCAATAAAAGAAATAAATTGTACCTCAAGGTATAAACGAGCAATTCGAACACATTTTGACAACCGGTAAGACTCGTCAATCACTCTGACAGAGACCATAAAGAGTTATAGTAACTGAAGAGACAGAGTTTAAAATATATATAACCCTATTTTCACAAAAGAAGTTGAAAGAAAAATGGGTGTTATACCTCATTCCGGAATCTAGGTCAATCCCACTGAGCATACGAGCGGCTTTTGACCATTGTTGCTCTGTTTCATACAATTCAGCAAGCTTCTCCCGAAGAATCAACACCTGCAACTCACGGAACATTATTTACTTCGTCTATGGATCCATAGCCAAAAGAAGTAGTAAACTGCAGCCCTTAACCACACTCAGAGCACTGTGAGAGAAGAACAAAAGAACCAAACAGATATTAAACGTATTTATTTTAAATAAGTGACATTGCTGATTTCAATATAACTATACTCATCCCCCTCCATTCCGTTAATGGAAGAATGAAAATAGGTTTACGCATTCAATTCCAATGTAAACCAAAGAACACTCGTGGCTCTATTTCTTTCAGATATAATTAAAATTAAGACAGCAAGAATATAAACACCATTTAGAAGGGTCATAATACGGATGACAAGCCCAGGCTCCCATTTCAATTGAGTGAGAAATGACATTGTGATTGGTTGTCATTCCATAATTGAGATACATAGTTCCAAAAGCATATAAAAGAATAATGCCAGAGTTAAACCTGCTCCTCGAAAGAGACGACGCGCGGCTGAATCTGAACGAGGATGTAATGGGCAATCTCTTTCTGAGCCACCGCCTCCAAGTTCCCCAAATCTTGTGCTAGAATCTGCAAGAGCTTCCGCGATACTACAAGCGAGACTTCGTCGGATAGTACTGCATATCAAGAATCGTCAAGATGATTTGCCCTAACTTCGCGGTAAAATAACGAAACGAATGAGTTGGGAGAAAAACTTCAACGTATTAGAGAAAAAGTAAGGCAGCTAACTGTGATCGATAAACATCTTGGTCTGAACTATATCGTTCAACGACAAAACATTATACAGAATGTGCTTATACTGTTCGATCTTCCGCCTCTGGTCTGAGATAGCAGAGGCGCTAGCAAAGGCACTCTCCATGGCAATTCACTGTTTCGCCTTTTTCCTTCTGCGTCGAGACTGGAAACCCTAGGTCGCGGGAAAGCCCTCTTCTCCGCAGGCTCAATCCCGCCACCTGCAATGGAGGGAACTGCTTCTATTTGGTATCCGTGATCGCAAGCGTTCTCTACTGCGCGCATGAAGAATAGTTGGTTGTCAGCCAATTATATAGCGGCACGTGTATATGACGGGGATTTCGTCATTTTGTAATTCTTGATGGGAACGATTTTTTTTCCGCCCAAGCTGTGTGTGAGCATCAGGTTCGAGGTTCGAGGTTCGAAGTTCGAACTAGTTGGAGTTATGGAATTTCAACATAATTTAGATAAGTAGGAGCTTTCCCGCTCACCTTTATATGTAAATTTTGATTGGGTTAGTTTAGAATATTGGAAGATTCCAAATAATAATGCTCAAATTGGAACTTCTAAATAACTATGGAAACTAAATGAGGGTAAGAAAACAATCAATGAAAAAGGGAGAGAGGTTGGATTGCAAGGGCATAATGATAGTAGGGTCGGGATATCTCTCCACCCTCCGAATCGAGCGTGAAGGGCTCCATTTATCCCGCACAATAGTAGTAGCATCGAGGCTGTAAGTTGAGGCACGACCATAACATAAGGTTATTACTTTCACATTCCTCTCTATCTTGAGATATCTAGAGAGAGACAAAGATTCGTTGTGTAATCGATCTGACTGTGCTTTACTGGCCACGTCCCATCTTTCTTCCCAACGAGCCCATTTTTCTTTTGATTTGGAAGGCGAGCATCAAGTTCCATCACATTAATATTGTGATAAAAAAGAAAATTAATGAAATAACCAACTTTTTTTTTTTTTATAGTTATTATTATTATTATTATTATTTTTGTATGGAGTTCAGTTAGTTAGTGAAGTTAATATTACTTTATACTAGAAGTTAGTTAATATAGTTGATTATTAATTTATTTTATGTTTTAATTACAATTTCATATTAGACCACAAATAATTGGTCACAAGTACATCCATGTCTCAATTACTTTAATATATTATTTAAAGAAATTTGTTCTCAAACATGTACATTATATTTTTAATACATTTGTAAATCGGACAAAATCGATTACAATTCATCGCCGATTTGGATCGCGAGGTAATGGAAGTAAGGGCACAAAGTGAAGTTTGATGTACCAGTTTCCCGCTTCTTCGACTTTCCCTCCCGTAATTGGCAAGGCAGTCATTCTTCAGTCTCGGAGCACGATCTTCTCTGTCAAACGATTTTCCGCTCCACAATCTGAAACTGAATTGGAAACGATTTACAATCGCTTCAATCTGCAAGCTATGTACCACAGGCGTCTCTGAAAGTGGACAACACTGGTAAGCAATGGCGCCATTGGTTTCGTTTGGTCTCGAGTATGATCTACGACGGTTTCCTTAATCCTTCGGTTTCATGGATTTCTTTCCAATTTACGATCCGCGTGATCTCGACAAAATTGAAGTTATAGAATGGTGGAAAGAGAGACGAGAAGTAGGATTAGGATGTCGACCTTTGATTTTGATACGGTAGTATGGAGTATCGATTTCTTTGCCGCGAGTTTAGGCATTCATTTGTTTGTTTATGCTTTACTAGGATATATTACTGAGTTCGTGCTCTTAATTGATTGATTTTATAAAGCGGTTTATCTACTCTTGCGTATTGCTTCGGATAACGGTGCATGTTAATGTTAACGTCACCATCAGCTTATTGCAGATTTAGTAAACATACGAACACATCGTTGAGTATAATTCATATTCATTTCGGATAATTGCATGGTAGAATTTATTTTTCGTCTGGAATTCTCGATCTCTGGCTATTTAATTAGTGAGTTCCTTCTATTTTATAAAGCGTCAGATTCTGCAGTTGCTCTCGAGTTATCTGGTTTTTGCCTGCGTGAGAACTCTGTGAAGGATTTCTGAAGTCTTTCAGAGTTGAGGGCGTTGCAGGAGGAGGAACTGCTTATAGATGTAACAATGGAAGCTTAAATACAGCAGAGCTAGTAGATGTGTGGTACATACCAAGCACAGAAAACGTTGGACCTCAGGAAATGCCTAGGCGTTTAGAACCTGTAAGTACGAAATAATATATAATTTGCAGCTTGTTGGTTAATGAACGAGCTTAATTCACGGAATAATGTCTTAATTAGTCTAACTAATAAAACAGGAACTAGTAATCGAACTTGATGCGGAGAAACCAGGAATATCCTTTTTGCTTACATATTGTCAAATGATTGTACCTGACAATTGATATGTTCTTTGGAATTTTCTTTCTTAATGACTTTTGTTTACATCATTCATGGAATTGCAAGACCTACCTCATCTTTGCAGATAAATTTTTGGCAGCTAGAAATGAGAAAGTGTTCAAATTGCTATGCGCCCAAAATTATCTTGGGGAGGTTCTGGCGTGGCTGGAATTTTGCAGGCTTTTTCTGGTGATCTATGCTCCACATCTGGTGATCGGTTAGTGTCACTAGACAAACAAAGTTTCATATGTTGTTCCCCTGATAAACATGCAGGTGTGGTTGTGTGCAGGCTAGTTGTTGGACAATCATTGAGGTCAGTCACCCAAAATACATACCCATGCTATACTATTGTAGTATGTTGGGAATAATATTCATTTTAGAGATCTAACAATTATTTTGAAGGTAGGCTTTGCAAGTATATTGTATCTGTAAAACTTCTGACTGTAAAAATAGTTGTTGAATTTGAAAAAAATCAGTGTCGAAATTTTTTATGTTAAGAATTGAATTTCAGTACCTGTAGTACGGTGATCAAATGATTAGTTTGAATGATTTCTCCGGATAAATCTATTAGACTGATTGCCCAGAACTTAACTACTGTTTGTTGCTATGGCAGCCATTGAATATGGAACATTATGATTCTGTTCGCAGTATGTCTAGTGAGATTCGTGCTTATGCTCCAGATACTCGTGTATTGACAACATACTACTCTGGTATGAGACACAATCTTGCTTTTGTTTGTTCTATTCATTCTACTGCAAACTCAGACTCTGGTTACACAACTTTCCCTGCTCGATTAATAATTTGCATGGCATTAGCTGGTTTCCATATTGTAATAGTCAAAGTCCACTCTTAGCACATATTGTTTTTTTGGGCTTTTCCTTATGGACTTCTCCTCAAAGTTTTAAAACACGTCTGTTAAGGAGATATTTTCACACCCTTATAAAAAATGTTTCGTTCTCCTTTCCAACCGATGCGAGAAACCTTATACATTTTTTGGCTACTACAAAACTAAATGTAGTAGGATTAGATAATTGTCCAGTGAGATTTAGTAGTGAACAAAAAAAGAAAAGCAGCCAATAAGCAACTATATGATTACCTGTTGGACCTCTCCTTGAATCTAGTAATCTCTTCAACGGTAGATCATCATCAACCAAACCTAATATGAAGCTCTTGTCTCTCCCTTCCAGATAAACTTCCATCACCATGTGGGATGTTTTTGTCACGGCTGAGCCTGGAGAGTAGTGGTCCTGGGCCTCCTGACCTGGTTAGAAATAGGTAGATTTTCATTTATTCTACATGTCATGCAGTGTCGTTAGCTGTTCATAGCTACCATCTACCTCATCTGTTGCCAATTAACTGGCTTAAAATGATTAATATTTTACATTTCATAAAGCATATAAAACTCTAAAAAAAGTTTTTTTTTTAAATAAAAAAAAAGAACAATGTAGTCAATAATAATAATTGATCAGCCTCCCTCTCATAGACAAAACTCTCTCAGCTCTTGGTAACATAATTGACCTTTACATGAATAGGCTTAGACTCTGTAAAATGCATTATATGAACAACATAAGGACAAATGAGAAGAAAAAAAAGAAGGTAAAGAGCATGGAAAGATGAAAGCTTTTTTAGTTGGAAGTTATGGCTATCTTTCTCAGTCCCACAAGCCATCAAAGATATCTAATTGACAAATCAAATAGGTGATGATTACTTGTGCATCTTTTGCTCTTCTTGCCTTTTGAAATTGTGCTACTCATCCCCTACAGCTGTTTATTTTTGTGTAGTCAATGTTGAGCTAGGCCCCATTAGAATTTAGAGCCTCAAAATGTGAACTTCTTTAGTTTTAAATTTCATGTGTTTTTTTCTTCTTCTTTCTTTCTCTCAAGCACTTTTTCTATTAGTGTATTTGAAACCAGTTCTTTCTGATGTGACTTTTTATTGCTTTTAAATAATTATCAACACCACTTTTGATTGCCCAACCAAATAGACTAACATTTTTTTATTTACAATCGTGCCTAAGAACTATTAAATTTGTAGGCTAAAATATTATTTTGGTCTCTGTTCTCAATCTTTATGCTTTCAATAAACTTTAAAATTAATTTTATAGGCCAATTGATTTTATTTAATGAAATTTGGTAAATGGGTAAAATAATAATAATTTTCATCTAAGAAAATACTTCAAATTTTAGATTTTTTTTATTTATAAAAAAAGCTAACAATAAACTAATAATAGAAACGGTTAAAGTTGGTATAGAAATTAAATTTGAATACTAGTGATGACTACGTCTATGTGTGCCTAATCTCACTAAATAAAAAAAAGCATTGAAAATGGGTCAAATTTTGTCTCTATTCGGATGAAATCTGATCTCACAAGTTGGGCCACGTGAATAAATTATAATTATATTAGGATAATTATTTTTCAATTATAAACGGCAACGATAACATAATAAAATAATCAACGTGTAAAATCTTGTTGAATTTAAAATCGGTGCGTTCATACTTACAAATGACAAATTCCACATTGGATACTCAGTTTGGTACTTCCACTACAAATTCATCAACAAAATCAATATTAATAAATTTCATATAGAACGTTAGTATAATTTTTAAATTAAATTATAAGTTTGATTCATATAATTTAATAAAATTCTTATTTTTACAACAAAATTTAAAAGTGCACAAAATTCTAGAAATTTACCCAATTTTCTACCCTCCACTCAACCCCGATTCTTTTAACCATTATTGATGAAGCAAAAAGGCTCACGGAACATGGTTCAAAAGTACCACCATTTTCAAATCATTTTACCAATTAAAACCAATATTTTTTCACCAAAAAAAAATAATAATAAAATATCACTCATGTCATAATCATGTTTGTCTTGACATTGTTTATAAGATTTTAATTTTAAATTTGTAAAAAAAAATTAAAATATTTTGATTAGTATTAAAATATGGATATTAAAAAAAGAAGAGAGAGAGAGAGAGAGAGACCGCCGGCAGCCGGACGCAGGGGCGGCGGAGAGAAAAATGGCAGAAATGGTAATGATTTAAATATTTGAAAAAGGCAGGTGGCCTTTGTCCATATTGGATGTTGGATATTGGAGTCCTCAGAGACACAAAAGGACAAAACAATCCTTGCCCTTTTTAAACACATTCTTTACCCTACAACCGAAAGCACGACCTTCAAAATGGAACCGCCCCTGTGATTTGAATGATTGTACATCTACGTTGCATCATAATCTGAACGTTCCACTGCGCTCGTCCCCACCATAGCCCTGTGGTCTCTACCCTTGCTCATAGCCCCGTGGACACGAATTCAAGCACGTGTAGAGTGAGTGAGTGCTCTCTGTAGTGTTAGCTCGTATTCTATCCGTACTTCACTTTAAAAAACACCTTTACTCTGTCCCAAATAGCCCCCGACTTCATAATATTTACGTCATTGCCACCATCCTTCCCTCGGGTCTTTTTTTTAATAATAATAATTTTAGTAATTTAATTGGTAAATATTAAAATTATTATTATTTAATAAATTTGATATATTTGAGCTATTTCCTTAATTTGTAGATAATTAAATAATTTAGAGAAAAAAAGGTACAAAATGAAGTAATTGACAATTTTGAATAAAAAAGATGACTCATTTTAAAAAAAATAGATAGAATTTGTGTGATTTGGGGATGGCAATTAGGGGTAGTATTGTCATTTCAGTTATGAATTTGTAAAGAAAGATTCAGTAGACTACAAGAATAGAGTATGAAAGACAAGAAATTAAAAGGAAAAAAAATAGCTAGACGACAAGCACCGCCTAGTCCGATTTTCCCCGACAAATGTTATCACCTAGCAGATTACGACACGTGGATGGATAGATTTCCATCGGCTGCCGGAAGGATTAGAAGGGAGCTCGGCTCAGGCGTCCCCTCTTAACCATGGTTACCACGACACAAGTCATTAGCTAACCACGGTTAACTGGCGCCGCTTTAACTACTTTTTAATTATTTTCCTCTGATTTTTATTCCACTACTTCTCTTCTCTCTCTCTCTCTCTCTCTCTCTCTCTCTCTCTCTATGCATTTTGGCCTTTTCTACTCAGTTAAGGGCAAACTCAGATACCGCCGCCTTAGGCGCACTGGTATTCCGTCCACCTTCCGGTGCAATATACCATGTAGATTTCAGTTTTCATTTGCACATTCTCTGAGAACTAGCTAAATTATACCAAATGGACTGTAAATTCAGACAGTCCCAAGGCTTTTAGGTTCAGTTCATCCTTTCAATTTTCGTAACATTCACAATTCGGACACCGCATAGTGGTGGAGTTGTATTCGAGCTGTTGTATTGATTTCAACAGAGAGCTGTATTTTCTGTTAGAATTGATTTGGAATAGTTAGTTTCATCAACCGACTGTGTGGCTGAACTTTCGGTGAAGCTAAAAGCCTAAAACTATATTTTCGTCGGGATTATATGCGAAATGGTTGATTTGGAAACTTCTTCCCCGGTTGAGGTTTCCAGAGAAGCTGGTTTATCTTCTTCAGGTTATATTGAACCAGTGGCGGTGGTGGCTCCGCCAAAGAAGAAACGGAACCTGCCTGGAATGCCAGGTAAGGGAATTAAAAGGCAATCGGACAGATTATTTGAGTGGTTTCAGTCGCTTTTGGCTTCCGATATGATATTTAGATTTGATTATTTCTGTTTTTCAGATCCGGCGGCGGAGGTGATTGCTTTGTCGCCGGGGAGTTTACTGGCGACGAACCGGTTCATATGCGAGATCTGCAACAAAGGTTTCCAGCGGGACCAAAACCTGCAGCTTCACCGGCGAGGCCACAACCTTCCGTGGAAGCTCCGACAGCGGACTAGCAATGAGGTTCGTAAGCGCGTCTATGTTTGCCCGGAACCTTCCTGCGTCCACCATAACCCGGCGAGAGCGCTTGGCGATCTCACTGGAATAAAGAAGCATTTCTGTAGAAAGCACGGCGAGAAGAAATGGAAGTGCGAGAGATGTTCGAAGAAATACGCCGTACAATCCGATTGGAAAGCGCACATGAAAACTTGCGGAACTCGAGAGTACAAATGCGATTGCGGCACTTTATTTTCAAGGTTCGATTTCGTTTTTTTTTTTTTCTTTTCCTCTGTGTTGGATGGATGGATGCCTAGAAATCATCGCTTCATTATTTATCTTTTCGGTTGAAATTTGTTCTGTTACTTGAAGGAGGGATAGCTTTATTACACATCGAGCCTTTTGCGATGTATTGGCGGAGGAAAGTGCTCGTGCTCAAACCCTAGCAGTTCCAAACTCTGAAGGAAAGGAATCCACCACTTCAAAAGCCGCCGTGACTTCGCCTCCTCCGCCGCCGCTAACACCGTCGACCACGGTGATTTCTCCGGCGTTATCAATTCACAGCTCAGGTATTATATTAGTCATGGCAAAATCATCTAAATCAACGTCATTCTATGTAATGTTTTGGTTAATTTTCTTTCGATAAACTCCACATTTATCACGACTTGCGTGCGTTTGTTCAATAATGTTTAATTAAGAGGCTAATCGTGTCAAATGAAACCTTTTTTGATCCATTGTTGTTTGCGAGTCCTTTCTCTTTTTTTGTCTTGTTTTTCCCCTTTAGTTGCTCTTCATGATTGTATAGTACTGCTCATTCACGGGTAATTGTTGCATGGATGACAAAGAAGCTCAAAGAACGAGGATAGTGGGAAGGGAGAAAGAAGAGGGCTTACTGGAAAAAAGTCGCCATTATTCCCTTCCCTTTTACTTCCAAAAGTGCTTTTCATTTTTAAGTTCAAGCTGTTCATCATTTACAATAAACAATTAGCTAGAAAAGTTTCTGTTCCACCTTTCTCTCTCTCTCTCTGATCACAGCATTCTACCAAACTAGCTTTTCTTTTTTATTCTGCCCTTTCGTATTCAATTCTCAAATTCTTTGACCTGCTTTTGATTCATTAATTAGCATTTTTTTTTGTTGATTCTCATGCTACCCTCCATTGAGTTCCACGAAGATTTGACAGATTGTTGTTGGTTTACAGAGCTAGCTGATAATCCGATAAGACTTCCATCTGTTTCAACGCCTGCAGCGACGACATGCTTGACCTCCGCGTCTGTCAATAGTACCACAAATGCAAGCGCTAACGGCAGTAGCTCAAACAATGTGTTTGGAAATTGTACTGTTTTTGCCCCTTCTGCGTCAATTTCAGGGACGACCCAGATATCCCCAACATTACCACCACCCAGTTTACCCGCGTCAATAGTACCCTACGATTGCGCCTCTACTCGCCCTTCTGCTTCCGCAGTTAATCCCACGTCGCTCTCTCTCTCCACATCTCTCTATCTTTCCTCTAAAGGATCCTCCCTCTTTGCCCCACCTGACCAAGATCGTCTGCAGTACACGTGGTCCACTCAACCGGCAGCCATGTCTGCCACCGCCCTGCTGCAGAAGGCAGCAGAAATGGGGGCAACAGCGTCTAATCCGTCGTTGTTCCGTGGCTTTGGGATGGCCACTTCTTCGACTGGTCAAGATACCTCTGCCACTATTCAATGGAGTAGGAATTTGAACCGAGATCACCGGAATGGCTCTTCGTTAACGGCCGGTGTAGGGCTTGATCTCCCATCCGGACCAGACGGTTCTGGTTTGATGATATCTGGAGGCCCATTTTGCTCGTTTGGAAGTCAGCCCATGACGAGAGATCTTCTTGGTCTTGGCTTAGGCGGAGGTGGGGCCTCTTCAAGTAGATTCTCGGCTTTGATTGCTTCCATGGGTGGTGGGTCTGGTTACCCCGTTGCAGCTTCAGACGCCTGCGGCGGAAGTGGCAATGGAAGCCCCTCCGGCGACGCTTGGGATCAAGGTGAGAAGCATTGAAAGTCGAAACTCAACCGTTGATTGCTGGCTGGAACTGCTCATATTCTTATATGGAGGTCAGACTCAAAGCCAT